CCTCTCACCCTTTCGCCATCCTTCACCTTCCGCTGAAAGCGAGTTTCGTAATAACCGGACGAGAAAGAGCGAGATAGAGGGAGAAAGATGATCGACCGTCGCGGTTCATATAATATCCGGAATATTGGGTGGCAAAGGGAAAGGGGGAGGAGGGGAAGGGAGTGTGGGAAGGGGTTCGCTTCGAGAAAAACGACGCGGTATCATAATAAGTAGAGAGACGGGGAAGACGCGCGGAAGGCCGGAGGTCGCCGTCGATGGAAGAATCGCGATGGTCTCCCTTTCTTTGGCATTCTCCGCTACATCATTGTTGCCGGATAATGAAACGCTATACATCCGCGCTCGCGTTTGTCAAGTCTAGGCCCCCGTGATTATTCGCGTTCTGATTTTCGAATGTATCACGGGAAATGTATACACGCTCTATCTACGCGGATGGACGTTTCGCTCTCTGGGTTCGGAAATTTCGAACGTGTTGCTGTTCGCAAGAGATACAAAGGAAATGCGATATTGTATACGCTTGTTGCATGTGCAGGTATTACAAAAAATTTCTTATGCACCAGAATCGGATGATTGTTATATATACATACACGTGCCAACGCAGAGAACGAGAGAGAAAGAGAGAAGAGCAATATCTTTTCCCTACATCACATTAATTCAAAATAATATAAAGTTTGGGCAAAAACACATTCATATACCTATGTATAAGAATTTTTCTACTTTTTTGTAAATCAAAATCTGTTCTGAATTTCCTGCATCTCAATCTGTAGATAGAATTCTTCGAAGAAAAAGATTTTACGAGTTCCACTTTTCCACACTCTGCTAAAATTTCAACTTTATCACACATTATCCGCTCCGAGACTTTCGTTCATTGTACTTACACTGCGCTGTCGCATCGCGCGCTTTCAAGCTTCAGTTGCGATTTTACGTCCCGCACGCATCGGGCGAGCGCGCACGTATGTACCAGTCGACAGCAGAGTGACGCGTACAACTGCAGCTGCAGGCGTACGATGGTCAGTCACGTTCATAGACGCCTCCCCAACCCCCCTTCCTCTCTGACGCATATGGAGCGCGCGTCGTAATGTCGCGATACGTGCCGCGATTACCGTCGCGCGAGTAGATAAAAAAATCTCTCCCCGGGATTTAATTCCGATCGTATCGGAAGCGAATCCTCGACTCATTCGCGCTGCACGGCATCATCGATATACACCGCGCGGTTGTAAACGGTTTTTCTTCCCTCGATTTCTCCCTATGGCGAACCCATCATAAACACACGCGATATGCACGAGAGATAATGAGAAACTAGTTGGGATTTAATCTATATTAACTATGCTATACTAATCGCATGTCATGTTAATGAGACTATACTATTCAACCGAAAGAAGAATTCCGTTAATTACAGATTCCTAAAGTTTCATTTAAACGTTGACGAGCTGCAGTATTATTTACCGTTTTATTACGCCTGTTTTTTCGATATTTTTTTCCGACGGAAAATTGACTTCAAAAGAATTCGTTATTTGTTATTCGATATTAAAATTCTAGAATGCCATGCTCTACATTGCTTAATTGGAGTAAACGGTCTGTAAATAGTAACGATCCATAAATAAATAAGTGAATCGTTTGCAATTTTTTTCATTGGTGCATTCTTTAGTACACACGAATACGTGTTCAATATATTAAAACACTGCCGATTATTTCTATGGTATTTGTATTTATCGTAAGCAATACCTGGGGGATTCCTTGCCCTCATGGCCAGTCGCCATGTCGTTCCGCAGAATTCCAGAAATCTTCTACTTCGATCGAAAGAAATTCTCAATCTTTCCGGAAGTATATTCCCGGAAGTTCACAATTTTCTCACGACACTCTCACAGTTCGCCGGCGATGTTCGACCGAACGACGTAGACCGTCTAGAGTCTCGAAGTTCTAACAGTCCTCATAACTTGATGTAATAGAAAATGCAATTTGTCACGATAATCTGATGTTATGTGCATTCAAACGATCATCCTAACGACTTATATCTATATCATATTACACTCGGAATTCTGATATCTTACAAGTGATATCGACAGATATTGAAGAGTTTGAATATATTGGACGAAGTTCCACTCGAGAATGTCTCGACGGGGACTCCCGCCGATCGATTTATCGAATCATAAGTGGTGTCTGACGTGCAACAGGAAAGTAAACGTTCCAATCGGCAACAGTTGCCGCGACATGGCACAACGGATCGCGCGGAAGTAGTTATAAGCCGGTAATAATTGGAGAACGTGCGAATGCGATTCGACATCGATCCGAAATTGCCGTAGAAGTGTGACACGTGCTCCGCACCGCGGGCTCGCTCGCACGAACCGGCGATTTATCGCGATTTATTCCGGCACGACAGCCGCGAACGCACGAGATTCGCGTATTGAATACCCGGTGTGGCACACACACACACGCACACACACATACACACATACACACACCAAGTCGGAAGAGTTAACGTCGACGGTCGGAAACGTTCTTCGGCTACTCTCTATACGAGTTACATCGTCACGATTTTGCACAATTTTAATATTTCAAATATCGTATATTTTGTGCGTAGAATTGATAAGATAGAGAGAGAGAGAAAACATATTTTTCTCAACTCCTCTCTAGTGTAGAAAATTTCAAAGATTATTAGCTTCAAGTCTGAAAAAGTCACTGTGCAATTTTAATTGTTCATTTCTCTTCACACTCCGACACACGTCTCTCGGCGTCGATCATTTCTGCGCGCTGTGACTCTCGGATCATCCTGGCGATAGATCTTCGTACTCGCACTTTGCCCTTCGACGAAGTTCAGCGTTACGCAATGGTGAACCTCACACACTCGTTCATCGCCGATAACAGTCTCGGTCCAAACACCGACGATCGTATCTTCGGCGTTATCCTCATAATTAAACTCAACTCGAAGATTATTACGAAGGACATGCTCCGAAACGTAATTCGAAATGCGCACAATTCATGGTTATTCAATATCAGACAGTCGCCCCATCACTCATTCATCAACATTCTCCGCGGATGAATATGTTATTTCTACGATTATTTTGCAAAATTTGTAAGAAAATCCGAAGTTTATTCACGTGCGTTTCGACTTGGCGATCAAGCGCGAATTTTTTTTTTTTTAATACAGTTTTTCAAGTGCGTTCGCAATGTCTGGCGGAAAAAAAGAAAGGAAAGAAAGAGAGATTAGGTGAGCTAATCTAAGCAAGGAGAACGTGCGGCTTATACGCGCACTGCATGTGCACGCGCGGCTCGATGAGGAGTAACGTGCGAGTGTAACGGCGCACGCCGCGCTACTGACGACGCCTGGCGTCGCGGCGCCACGCCGTGAGAGAACACTCGGCGGTGCGCGTTCGCGCAGGCGCCACCGACGCCGGTTCGTTGACGTTTTTCCCTTTTCTTTCTCTCGTTTCTTTCCTCCTCCTCCCCCACCCCCGTCTTTTTCCTTTTTGTCGCGCGTGCGAATGTACGTTCGTCTCCTTTTTTTCCTTCTCTCCTGCTCCTCCTCCTCCTCCATCCACCGAATTGAAAGTAAGGTAAAATGATTCAGCGCCGGCATTTCTCGCAGCGGTGAGACGGGAAAGGCGGCAGAATTCGGCAAAGTGCGAGAAACACCGGGCATCCTCTCCGTGTGTTTATTACGACGTTTTCATAAAATCTCGGCGGGGGATTTATTAAGCGCGCGTGGAGAAAATAATAATACGTCAGAGAAACATGAAGGAGAGAGAGAGAGAGAGAGAGAGAGAGAGAGAAGGCGTGCGAAGAAGGGTATTTTCTGCAGAAAATATATATCCAAGAGAGAGTTAAACGAAGTAATACGATAAATCCCATATAAATTCAGTTGTTATTTTTTTAGCCGTTGACAATCGACTTTTACAAATAAAAGTAGAAATGCCTTTCTAAAGTTTACGCAGACTCTCATTTTTATCCGCGTGCAATGAATGTAATTACGTGTTTTTATTGTGTCTGAATTAATATTTTACATTATCCTCTTTATTGCTTCAGATTGACATTACGTAAACGTTTTATTTAAACTTTATATCTATATAAACTCAATATCTTTAAAAATTGAACATAGAAATAAAAGATTTCGAGAGTTCCACGTCTCTCGAAACGTATTACGAATTTGTTTCGTGTCGTTATCGGCGTTGTCAGTTGGAGAATCTCTGAAAAAAGTCCCTTTGAATATTATATCGTAAATCGTCAATTCGACCGTTGTTTGCATATTCCAACGGCACAACGCGACCGATGCGCCCACGTAAATTTCATTTAACTTTTCTATGCTAATAATCCCGACCAGAGCGCGCTTCCCCTACTCGCGCCGCGGCGTAAAGCGGGGAGGAAAAAAAACGCGTATGAGATGCTATTTGCATTTGTAACGATGCGTTCTGAAGAGGGCACGAAGTGCGGCGGCGGGTGTCGAGGGAAGCCAAAACCAGAGACAGCTGGTTGCGCCTCTCGGGGTCTCCGGGAGTGGAGACATCCGGTTCTGACGAGCCCGAAACTCGTCAAAATACACAAATCGCTGGCACGTCTCGCACGCGGACGTTTTCCCGCGGGAAGACGCGAGGCAACGAGACAAATGGCGGGGATGGAAACGTTCCTCTCGATCAACATTAACTTCGTCGAAAAGACAGCGCGGATAATTAAAATCCGGTGGTATGTACATGATGACGCGCGATTTGCTCCCTCTGAAGTTTTATCAATATAATTGCTATCGTAAATAATGCGTCGCTTATTGTAATATTGGAAAATATTTTGAAATATATGGAAAAGAAATAATTTTTCTAATAATTCTATAATTATTTGTTAGAAATTTGATATTAAATTTCTTGATGAATGATGATGATGATACTTTATTTCAATATTCTTCTTATCTTAATATCATCTTAAAATAAAGTTTATTTAATATAATCCCATCAGAATTGACCGAAGAACAATAAACGTCTCTCTTTCTTAACCGAACTCAAGATAGGTACTCATGATTGAATCTCTGACTAAAAATCCGTGTCACACACAGTACGGTGCTTGGCGCATAAAATTTTACGGTATGCACGCACGTTCAAAATCCTACCCGGCATATCGATAATATTCCATCAACGCGTAATCCACGTCGGACAAAACAAACCGCATGTCCGAACCACCACGGCCGTATAACGCGCGTGTCCGTATCGGTTATTAAATATATTTCCATTTCCGCGGCACCAAATATTGCTCCATTGTTCGAGAAAAACAGCGCGCGCCGGCCGCCGCGCGGTTCCCGCGCTCGGAACGAAATAAACGTATCGCGTGCGAGACGGAGAAAGGAAGAAAGAAAGAGGCTCTTTTTTTACGCCTATACGGCAACATCAACGACCACTCCCGTCGCCAGTTCGCGCGAGGTAATAAAGCAGCGGGCGGAATCGTATAGGAATCAATGCGCCGTGTTGTTCGGCTCTGACCCATTTCCGGTTCGCCGTGGCCCGTACGACGTGCAGGCCACTACCGCGGCGCGGGGGCCATAAAACGCACCGTCGACCCGCAGGGTCCCGTGCTGCGCGCGGTTGCAGCACGGAAACGCAATTCGCGGGACATCCCGAACCGAGATGTATACCCGCGTTCTACACGTGCCCGCGTACACGTCGCTCTATTCGGCGACGACGATGTCGTAACACGACGTGTTCTACAAGCGGGCGTCAGCACTACCGCTGGGTCCTCACATTAACGGTCTATAGAAATTGCGCGCACCATCGCCCCGCAGCCGGCCGGGACTGGCTGGCCGAAGCGCGCGGAGCCCGACTTGAAAATTCCTCCCGTACACGCTCCGCGCGCGAATCGTTTCCGAAATCAAGCGACGCATTGTTACGCGTGCGGCGAGCGGTACTACACGTTCCCGCGATGTGATGGAATAATCACGGAATGTCTCGTGAAATTATTGCGGAACGGGCAAGAGGAAATAATCGAAGAATTGCCCGAGGAAAACGTCGGAGTGACGTCAAATTTCTGCTGATATCCAATCAGTAACTTTTTATTTTAGTAATGAATACACGGAAAGAACGATTTTGTCGAAAGGTCTAAAAATTTTGCTAAAAACAGATCTGAAAATAATTTTTTGTTGAATCATCAAAATAATTTGTTGGAATCTTAAAACTGATAAGTATTGCTATAAAACATTTTGATATTCTAGCAATCATTTTGACTTTCGCACAAAATTATTTTCATTATTGAACAAAAAGTATTTTCAGATCTGGATTCAGCAATATTGTTCTTTCTATGTAGAATTTTATCTGCAGAATCTATCGGCTATTGTGCAGGATTTACCAGGCAACAGGAATTTGACGCAAAAAAAAACGTGGAAGATGAGACAGTTTTGAAGAAATATTATATCCAAATATCTGTTGTAAAAATTAATGATTTCTGAAATTATTTTACGCGGACACATGACGTGTATCTATAAATTATATATTTAAAAAAATAGGAATATTTTAGAAAAAGAAAGATTTTAAAATTGTATACTTCTCGCCTATATCAGTATCGATAAAATAAAAATAGCACAAGACAAAAGACAATAAATAAATTTTTGTCGCCATTATTCCGATAATCATCGGATGAAATTGTGCCAAGGAAGGAGGCATTATTGCGATATTCATTGGCGTAATATTCTGCGGAAGGATTATTTGTGCAGGCAAACTCGGGGATAGCCCGGGAAGCGGAGTGCACTTTGCGCCTGATGCGCTTCGGTGTAACATCACTGCAGCAGGACGCCGGGGGTATCCGCCCTTGACGGCCCTGCGGCGTCGAATGACAGGACGAGCGGGCCAATGGAAACGAGCAATTCGATCCTGCCGCTGTCGACGTGTACTTCGGATGGCTCTTGTCCGGGAATAATTGTACACGCCTAGATTGCCTCGGCGAGAGGAAACGCGCGACATTAACGCATCCAGTAAAAGCGAATACGGCCGACTTCCAATCAATACCGCGCGCTTTCACTTTTACATACATCCCGAACTGCGCGCGCGATCGTTAAAATTATAATTACTTTCGTAATCGTCGGGTGGATTGCGAATTTACCCGCGCAGGGTGCATCCGACCGTGTAAACTCGATCATATCCCCGTGCTCGCTACGCCGTTTTTACTTCAATATACATCGCGACGTGTATGCCGTTACTTCATATACATCCCCGCAACTTCAATATCGTATACATACAGTCTCGCTGTAATATTCATTACCTCCGGTATCTACCTGCGTCGATCGTTTTCCCTTAAATAATCTCTTCCCGTGCGTGAAATGCATTTTCATTAGGCGGACGTCATATAGGCGCGCGCGCGCGCGCGGGATCTCTCCATTCCCGTTTCCGTTACTTTAAAATAATATCCCGGAAACCGCCGCGAAACAGCGGGCACGGTGGCGATTAATGTTGAAACACTGTCGATTGATATTGACTGC